AATGGAAGTCAATGCAAAGGCCCCACAAAGATAGCAAAACAAACCTGGGTGTGTGTGTGTGTGTGTGTGTGTGTGTGTGTGTGTGATGTATAATGTCGTAAAGTGTCTGATAATGCCTACCTGTTGTGTATATGTATGTGTGTACTTGAGTACATGTATTACTGGCATATTTACCTCTGTGTACCTGTATGAAGTCATGAAGCATCTGATAATATCTTTCGGTTGTTTACCTGTGTGTGTACTTGTACTTTGTGTGTTTGTGTGTGTTTGTTTGTGTGATACTACACACTTGGTGTGTACCTGCAGATCCATTATGACGGCTGGTCATCGCAATTTGATGTTTGGCTTGACAGCGACCACGGCGACCTGCATCCTGTCGGCTGGTGTCAACGCACAGGACACCCACTGGAACCGCCCCCAGGTCAGACTGAGACAGGCAGCAGTTTAGAGATGCAGACGGGTCAGGGAGAGACAAATGGGTCAGAGACAGACAGATGGGTTGGAGAGGGACAAAATGGTTAGAGAGGGACAAACAGGTCAGAGAGAGACTATGTTTTTAGTAAGACTTTTGTGTTTGTGATGGACAGGTTCGTCCCCTATTTCCTCCCCCTCTCAGGGAGTTTGTCCCACTGCAGGCTGTCGAGGAGTCGGACACATCAAAGGGGCCAAGTACACCGGACATCACAGGTACCTGTCCAATCACACCTGTTCCACTACAGCTATGGTGTATGTCCAGTTCCTCTCCACTGTCGTCTCAGTTCTATTTCATATAGGCTTCGCCCTTTAAGGCTGTCGCTGATGGGTTTATCCCGTTATGCGCAAGCATCATACTGAAAAAATTAGTCCACGCCCACCTGCTGTGTGGGCCCCACCCGATCCGTATAAATCACATTAAGAGCGGGTAATCTGCTCCCATTTTTCTTCAGCAAGCTAGTACAATAAAACAACTGACCTTTCATCGAGATGTCCAGCTCCAGCACCATCCGCTTGTGTCCCTCCTGCAAGACCGGTTACTTGCTTAGCTTCGACCGGCACGACACCTGCGAGGGATGCCTGGGTCCCCGCCACGTCGCCCGCGCTTCCTCCTGCCGCCTCTGTGACGAGCTTCCACCGGAGGAAAGGCAGAGGAGAGCAGCCTTGTTTAAGGCTACCATCGAGGACTGCCTGTCCGTGGCGGGAGACTGTTCGCTGGACGACGCCATGGATTTCTTCGACGCCGGCTCTCGGAGTGAATCGGATGATTCCTCTGGGAACGGTGACGCTAGCAGCAGCCCCGACGCTCGTTCCCTCCCGGGGAGCGCAGTGTTGGAAAGAGGGAGGCCGAGCGGATGCTCGTCTCCCCCGGGGTTTCCCGCTTCAGCGACCACATCGCTCCCTGCCATGGGCGCGCTCCTCTCGGAGCTGCCCGCCATTATCCGGGAAGCTGCTAGCGTAAAGGGGCTCTCCGTCCCCTCACCCCCCCCCCGCTCAGATCGGATGATCTTGCGGGACGGTTTGGCTCCACGCCGGCTCGCCGTCCTGATCCCATTTGGCCTCGTTTTCCAGCGGTGACATCGTACTGGAACGAGGCCGCAGCCGGTCCTGGTAGGTTAAGGGCGCCCGTCTCCACTTATGCCCCCATCACCAGAGTGGAGGGGTTCACCGAGCGGGGCTATCCCTCGGTACCCCCCCTTGAGCCAAGCCTCGCGGAAGCCTTCGGAGCGAAGCTGTCCAGGCTGGAGAAGCGTCCCGTCCCTCCGGGGAAACACGACCAGGCGGTGACCGCGCTCTCCAACAGAGCCCACCAGTGTGCTTTTCAGGCGGCCGCGGCTAACAACAACGTGGCGCTGTTAGCATTTAGCATGTCGAAAAGGCTGGAGGCCTCAGACCTGCCGGAGGAGACAAAGAGCTCCCTGTGTAAATCGGCAGACGCCATCCTCAACATGTGCGCCACTTCCACGGTTTGCCTGTCGAGGATTGCAGCGTGGATGACGGTAATCCAACGTTCCACCTGGCTTTGTCATTCTCCCTTGCTGCCGGAAAAGCTGCACAAAGACCTGATAGAGGGCCCCATCTCATCGGACGCGCTGTTTGGAAGCAGCTTGAAGACCATGCTGGCGAATTCGAAGCAGTCGGAGGAGATGTCGAAAGCTGTGCGCCATCTCATCAAGCCGCGCGGCTCATCCCGTCCCCCAGCCCGCTGGAGAGACCGTCGAGAGCAGAGGCAGAAACATTGACGCTCCACGGCAGCAGCAGCTTCGTCTCGCCCAGCTCCACCACCAGCCCCGCCCGCCAGAGACCACCCCTCCTCATTCCGGCAGCCTGCACTTCAGCGTTTCCCCAGAGATCGCCTGCAGACGGCGCTCGGGGCAAACAAACCGCAGAGCTCACGGGGGAGAAGATTTAAGAAATGACGGTCTGCGGAGGATGTGTGTATAAATGACACAGGAATTGAAATAAATGATTTTTCAAAGATCAAAATGCCTGTTTTTAGCCAGTCTGTAAGTTCGGATGAGCTCACAGCCGCTGCACACACATCCTCCACACATAAAGAGCCGGTGTCTTTATATAAAGGTTTTTTAAACCCACCGTCGCTCCATCACATGTCCAGACGCTCACGTGACACCACGGTAAGCGAAATAACTTGTCAATCAGAACCGCACGATCACCACCCAAGCGGTGTTAAACGCGCACCCGAGCGAGACAAGCAGCCTCCATCCAAACGGCGCTGTGTTGATGATGCACACACAGCTGCCCGGCGCTCACCGGCTCACATTGGTATAAATGTGGGACCGCAGGCCGGGTCCAGTGGAGGTCCCCACTCTCAGCGAAAACAACACACGCCTCTCCTGAGCGAACGCGAGCGGCCGTCATCCACCGCGTCTCAGCGATCAGCGGCTCACGGCGGCATAAGCGTGAGACAGCTGAATGAATCCAATGACGGGCCCCGCCCTCAGCGAGAGCAGCACGCGTCCCTCCAGAGAAAACGTGCGCTCCCGCGAGGCTCACAACCTTCACTTCGACAGCACGGCGTTGATGACGTCACGCCCTCCGCCTCTCAACGTTCGCACAGCGACGTTAAACGTGCAGCCTCACGACGTCATCAGCTGGCACACGTTTCGCCTCGGCACACACCGCCCCGCCCGGACATGAAGGTTGGTCCGCGATCCAGACACAGCGCACGGGCGCGCGCAGAACAGCCCTTTCGAGAAAGCCTCGCCTTGGGTCACGCGGAAAACACTTCCGCGACGCATGACGGCGGTCGAGGCGGAGGATTGGATGACATCCGTTCAAAACACGGCACATCATTTAAACGCACGTCCACTCCACGAACGTTACGCAGAGTGGCAAAAAACCTGTTCGCCGGACAGATGGATAGACAGAGTGTTATGCAAGGGTTACATGCTGCAATTTGCAACCCGACCCCCTCCGTTCGGAGGAGTTATAGAGACGGTCCTGTCATCACCAGACCAAGTCTCAGCCTTAAACGCAGAAGTTCAGGAGCTTCTGATAAAAGGTGTAATCTCGAGAGTTCCCAAAGAAGAGGAAAACACAGGGTTTTACTCACGCTACTTCCTGGTCCCCAAAAGGACCGGAGGGATGAGACCGATTCTGGATCTGTCAGCTTTCAACAAAGCGATCATGAACAGACCGTTTCACATGTTGACGAACAGACAGCTGTTGGACAACATCCAGAAAAACGACTGGTTTGTTTCCATCGATCTAAAAGATGCTTATTTTCACATACCGATCATCCCAAAACACAGAAAATTTCTGCGTTTCGCCTTTCAAGGGATGAAGTACCAGTACAACAGGCTGCCTTTCGGGTATTCCCTCGCGCCTCGTACGTTCTCAAAGTGTGTGGAGACAGCCCTGCATCCGCTGCACAGAGCAGGGATGAGAGTTTTGTTTTACCTGGACGACCTGCTGCTCCTGTCTCACTCCAGACAGGAAGCGCTGATACAGGCTCAGGTGTTGGCATCACACCTGTTAAATCTGGGCTTCGCCATAAATTGGAAGAAAAGCTCGATTTTCCCGGCCCAGACAATTGTTTATCTGGGAGTGGAATTAAATTCAATTACCATGACGGCTCGCTTATCACAAACAAGAATCGACACTCTAAAAAACCAACTTCGCCACGTAAGACCTGGCAAAGTGGTAACAGCTGTCTCCGTCATGAAGCTGTTGGGAATAATGTCATCAGCTCACACAGTGGTCCCGCTGGGTTTGTTACACATGAGACGCCTCCAGAGGTGGTTTGCGCGTCTGCGTGTGGATCCAGTAAAACAAAAGAGACGGATGATCACTGTCCCTCCCTCCGTGAGAGCAGACCTCTGACACTGGGGAAACACCCTCGTTCTGTCAGAGGGAGTCCCCGTCAGCAAACCTTCGACACACGTGTCAGTCTTCACGGACGCGTCGCTGTCAGGCTGGGGGGGGGACATGCTTATCTCAAGCAGTAGGGGCGCTGTGGCCCCACCACACATCAGCCCACATCAATGTTTTGGAGTGTCGCACAGTGCTGAACGTGATTCAGCATTTTGCTCCCGTGCTACAGAATCAACACGTGTTGATTCACACAGACAACATGGTGACTGCTGCGTACATAAACCGCCAGGGGGGTGTGCGTTCAGCCCAGATGTTACACATTGCACGGAAGCTACTGTGTTGGGCTCACCAAAATCTGCTTTCCATCAGAGCGGTCTACATACCCGGCGTTCTGAACAGAGGAGCAGATGTGATGTCCAGGGGCGGCCCACGTCACGCGGACTGGACCCTCCATCCAGACCTGATGTTTCAGACGTGGCAGAAGTTTGGCAAAGCAGCTGTGGACCTGTTTGCGACGCGAGAGAACGCTCAGTGCCAATTATGGTTTTCCCTGAGCCCACGAGACGATCCACCGCTGGGGGTGGATGCATTTGCTCACAGCCCGTGGCCCAAAACGCTTCTGTACGCGTTCCCCCCTCCTCCTCTGATTTTACGGTTCCTGAACCGAGTTCAGGAGGAAGGACTGACAGCTCTCCTGGTAGCTCCCGAGCGCGTGAACGCACCATGGTTCCCAGTCCTGCAGCGTCTGTTGTCGGGTCGCCCGTGGAAACTGCCATGGAGGGAAGATGCTCTCCTTCAAGCAGGAGGAGCGATCAGGAGTTACCCGGAAATAGGCCAGCACCTGTGGGTCTGGCCGCTGAGCGGTCCCGCTTAGAGAAGATGGGTCTCCCTCAGGAGGTAGTGCGCACAATTCAAGATTCACGCGCTGCATCTACCACAGCCCTGTACACATCAAAGTGGACGGCTTTTCAGCGCTGGTGTACAGAGAAAGGTTTGGAGGCCACCTCATGTCCATTAGGCGGCGTGCTGTCCTTTATTCAACAGCTGATGGATAGGAAGTTGGCATTCAGCACGATTAAAACGTACGCTGCAGCCATCTCCTCCTGCCACGAAGGGTTCGGAGACAGAACAGCTTTTAATCACCCGCTAATGAAGCGGTTTCTAAAAGGTGTACAAAGACATAGGCCGGTTTCACGCCCACTCCTTCCACAGTGAGATTTAACACTGGTCCTGCGAGCCCTGATCAAAGCTCCATTTGAGCCTATAGATCAGGTTTCACTTAAATTCTTGTCTCTTAAAACAGCCCTGCTGCTGGCTTTAACATCCGCTAAGAGGGTGAGTGATTTATCGGCCCTCTCTGCCGCTCCGTCATGTCTCAG